CTACCAAGTGAGTTCCAGGAAAGGCACAAAGCTACACAGAGAAACCCTGTCTCGAAAAACCAAAAAAAAAAAAAGATGAATGAAAGACTGAGATGTAGTGGCATACACCTTTAATCTTCACACCCAAGAGGCAGAGGTAGGCTGATCTTTGTGAGTTTAAAGCCAGCCTGGTCTACATAGTGAGTTCTAGGACAGCCAGGGCTACACAGAGAAACCCTGTCTCAAAACAAAAACAGAAAAGATGGACAAAAGGGTAGCTATACTAAAATTCAACACAACCATTACTATAGCATAGAAGAGAGTTTTATGACATAATAAAATGCTCTTTAGAGAGGCAGATCCCTAGAGCATGACAACCAGGCAGTCTAAGTATTCGGTGGGCCCAGGTTCAGCAAGAGACTCTGTCTCAAAATATAAGGTGGAATTCAATTGAGGAAGACACTTGACGTTGACCTGTGGTCTCTGTGTGTGTGTGTGTGTGTGCACACACACACAAGTGCTTTAGTATGTTAAATTTTAAAGAGCCACAAAGAAGGTATATTGTCTAACCACAGTATTTGTTTTACAGTTTCAGAACAGAAAATGGGAGAAAACACACCAAGATTGTTAATACATCTTGTTTTATTAGTAAGGATTATATTCATCTTGTTTAAGTTTTTCTGTATTTTGTGAAATCTCTACAGTGGCTATTTATACTTCACCAGCCAGGAGAAAGTACAAGAGTCAGGTGCTGGGATAAGTGTTTGTAATCACAGAACTCAGGAGGATCTCAAGTTGGAGGCCAGCTTGGGCTACACAAGCAGACTTTGCCTTAAATAAAGGAGAAAAGACAAGAAATGTTCTTTTAAAAGTCTAGTGTCTGGGTTGGGGATTTAGCTCAGTGGTAGAGCGCTTCCCTAGCAAGCATAAGGCCCTGGGTTCAGTCCTCAGCTCCAAGGAAAAAGAAAAAGAAAAGGAAAAAAAAAAAAAGAAAAGTCTAGTGTCGCCAGGTGGTGGTGGCGCACACCTTCAATCCCAGCACTCAGGAGGCAGAGCCAGGCAGATCTCTGTGAGTTCAAGGCCAGCCTGGTCTACAGAGCGAGATCCAGGGCGGGCGCCAAAACTACAGAGAAACCCTGTCTCAAAAAACAAAACAAACAAACAAACAAAAAGGTTAGTGGCTAGGGGGCTGGGGAGGTGTTCGATAAACCATATTTATTTAGCTGAAGTTCAGAACTCCGTCCATTTACCCCTTAAAGCGAAACATGGTGGGGCCTGATTTTGTGAATGGCTATAATCTTATCACTCAAGAGGCAGGTGCAGGAGGATTACGAGTTTGAGGCCAACCTGGACTAGGTAGTGAGATGCTGCCTGAAAACAAAACAATTAAAACTTGGGAGAAGGGACATAGATAAAAGCTGAGTTATGACTCCAACATATAGTTACATAGAAGAGGTAAGTTGTAGTACATTTATAATAATCTATCATATATTCAAGATAACTAGGAGAGAGAGGAGTTGGAAGTTTCCTAACACAAATGAGTGATGAATGTGTAAGGAGGGTGTGTGTGTGTGTGTGTGTGTGTGTGTGTGTGTGTGTGTGCTGGAGATGAAACCCAGAGTCCTGCCAGAAGGATGCATCTTAGTGTCTTTTTTTTTTTTTTGGTTTTTCAAGACAGGGTTTCTCTGTGCAGCTTTGCGCCTTTCCTGGAACTCACTTTGTAGACCAGGCTGGCCTCGAACTCACAGAGATCTGCCTGCTTCTGCCTCCCGAGTACTGAGATTAAAGGTGTACACCACCACCGTCCGGTGCATTTTAGTGTCTTAATTACTACAACACCACTCCACACCCAAAGTAGAGTGTGAGACAAGCCCTTCAATGCAAGATTTTTAGGAGGATATCCAGGCAAAGAAAAGGGTTTCTTGAGTCTAGGGTCCCAGTGGGAACTCTTGGAGGAGGATGTAGTCAAGATGGTTCAGAACTGCTCCTGTAATCCATCACATCACCGCCTTTGGGGAACCCTAGGGATGCCCACAGGCTAAACAGGCTGCTGAGCCTTTGTGTAGAGTCTCAGACAGTAAGCAGGCAGCTGCTGACAAGTCTCAGCTACACTGAAATTGGGTGACAGGTCAGCCCTCACCACCAAAGTTGGCTAGACTCAAAACCCAGTGTTGACTGAGAAAAAGAAACCGCAGGGGAGTCTGTACGACGAGTACATCTTCATAAAAGTGCGTGTTTTGTATCGCTATGAATGCAGTGCTGGGCAGTAGGAAGGTGAGCCAGTTGGAAAGGGTGTAACACAGGAGGGGCAGGAAGCAAGTTTGCGTGTCTGAAACTATACATCAAGGTGTAGCTGGAGATAAAGTCATGGTTAAAGAGTATGGCTGATCGGCGGGTGTCTTGAAGCCAACCTAAATTTTAAAGTTAATTTAAGTTCGCCTACAGAGTGAGGGGTTTCCTCAAGGCATTTTCGTGTGTATGTGTCATTACACTTTTTCCTTACTCACCCCTCCCCTGGCATCCTCTCACACAGTCCTGACCCCTTCTTGCTGTTCCCCCTCCTCCCCAATGGTCCTCCCTTCTGCTTTCATATTGCCTGTATTACTTTGCTCTCCTTCTGCCTTTTCTGGTTTCTTTCTCCTCTCCCATGGTCTCCTTTCTATTTTCATGACCTACACACACACACACACACACACACACACACACCTCTAGATATAAACTTCACATATAGGAGGAAATAGCAGTATTGTCTTTCTGAGTCTGCCTTATTTCCCTTTACATAATGAGCCCCAGTTCCATTCTCGAATCTTCTAGTCTATGCTGGTTGAGAAGTAAAGGAGAGCCAGCTTTTAAGAAAAGGGGTGAGGGGGTCACTGTTACACCAAGCACTGGAGGAAAAGAGAATTGGGGGGAACATCCTTTCTTTGCCTTGGCAGGAGACAGTTCCCTCGCTTTCGGGGAGCCTCTTTTCTACACTCCTGCTTTATCAGGGATGGGCAGGCAGGGCGTTTCTTGTTTGTTTGTAGGGACCGCCAGAAGGCCATCTGTGGGGCAGAGGGAGGCTTTGAGGCTCAGTCTAGAATATGAACTTTTCCAAGGCCCACCTCTTGGGATCTTTCTGGCATTCTTGCTTGATGTCAGATCATCTGGCCTGTGGGGAGATGAAATTCCCAGCTAGGAGGCTCCAGCTCTGCCACTAAAGGACAAAGACCCCGCATCCTGAATGTGGTGAGTTCCCTTATTTTCTCAGTCTGTCTAGTTCTTTAAATTTCTCAGGACCCTCAAACTCATGAGGTAGAGAAATCTTCCTTTTTACAGAGAACATCTTAAATCTAAAATGTGATGATGGTTAGCTGCCACTTAGGAGCCCAAAATACAGCAAGTGACAAGTGAGGGTAGCTCTGTCTAAAGACTCTAACTTAACACCACAGTGCTATTAATACTTCAGCAGGCATGCGGGTTGCCCTCGCCATCTGCTGGGTCCTCAACTGGGTGACTGCGAATTTATAGATGCCTGGGGTCTTCTTAAACTGCTCGAGATGGGCAAGAGGACATCTGTTGGGATCCGTTCCTCCTCCTCCTCTTTTTTTTTTTTTTTTTCCTGACTTAGAAGTTTCAAAAACTCAAACTAGTTCAAACTTAAAATGTAACTGACTCTGACTGGGGGAAAATACCTGCAACTTGTGTCATGGGGAAAAAAAATTGGTCACTGTATGAAGAATTTTGCAAGCCATTAAGAGACAAATGTATCAAAGAGAAAAAAAACAGCGAAATACAGAGGAAGTCATTAACAAGGACCAAATGAATGAATAATCAAAGAAATACAGATCAGCATGAAGGACTATCAAATTCTAAGAAATGCAATGTCATTATCAAATTGTTAAGAACTTGATACCGTCTACTGAAGGCAAGGCTGTAGGAAAACAAGAAAGTTTATTTTGATTGATTTGATTTGACCTTTCCTTAGGGCAATGTGGTGGTGAAATTTTAAAATATTCCTATTTTAAAATGAGGAAACTCAAGGCCTAAGAGTTTGAGCAGTTTCCTTTAACTTCGAGTCTCATTTAGTTGGAGGCTACACTCCCACTCCCAGGACTCAGCCTCCTAATCCCAGATGGCAAGCCACTGTCATTAGGAGCAAAGTTCAAGCCTACCATATGGGACTATTTTTTAAAATTCTCACAGGTCTGTGTTGGAACACTGAAGCTGTTAGAAGAATATGTGGTGGTGGCATGGAAAACGGGTATGATGCCACACGCACGGAAAACACCAGGTACCAAAGCATCACGGTGATTGTATGCTTTTAAAAAGATTTTTTAAATTTTATTTTATGTGTTTGTCTGCATGCATGTATGCATACCAGGTGCATTCCTGGTGCCTGTGGAGATCAGAAGAGGGTATCGCATCCCCTGGAACTGGAGTTACAGATGGTGGTGAGCTGTCATGTAGGTCCTGGGAATTGAACCCGGGTCCTCTGCAAGAGCAGGCAGTGCACTTAACAGCTGAGCCATGTCTCCAGCCCTCCCAGATTGTTTTCTGATAGCCAAAGTGATATACAGGATGTGAAATGTTGGAGAGACTTTGGGAGTGTTCTCTCTTCCTAGAGTGTTGGCATTTTCAACGTGTTCCTCGGTGTGGCATGAAAGATTCTGCTTCCTGCTAAAAGCATTTCAGGCAATAGCAAGTGAATGGGCAGAGCTTGGCTAAGGAAGCCTGGGGTGGGGGGGCTCCCGCTGCAGAGCACACAGTGATCTGCACCTCTGAGCGGTGACTGTCCCTTTAGTTCAGTGCACATGTATCAAGCACTTGTTCTCCACCAGTCTATGGCCAGTGCTGGTGTGCATTCTCTCCTTGAAGTCCTCCCACCTACCTGTGAAGAAGCCCCTCCCCCATGGTTTAAGAACTTAGCATCACAGATAGTGCACGACTTTGCTAGAGATGTGGAGCTAGCAACTGGAAATAGGTGAGACTGAACCCATGTCTATTCAACTTCAAGTGCCTATTTGGAGGATTAGTGCCTTCATGATGAAAGGGTAGACTCTGTTGGTTATATATAAACCTAAAAGGGTGTCAGGGAGGCTGGAGAGATGGCCCAGCTGTTAAGAGCACTTGCTGCTCTTGCAGGGGACCATTCTCAGTATCCACACCAGGCTTCTCACAACCACCAGCGTCTCCAGTTAAGAGCCGAGCCAACACCCTCTTGTAGCCTCTGAGGGCATCTGCACTCACATGATACACATGCTTCCCCTCATGTATACATATAATTCAAATATTTAAAAATGAAGAAAAGAAAGAGTTTCTGAGGATTTTAGTCACATTGTCACATGAGTGTAAGGATAGTGTCACAAGCAAGTGGGTAGTGAAGCTGAGCTTAGAAGCACATGCCTTGGCTCATCAAGTGGGACATGTGACCTGGGTCTCAGCCCCAGTTCCTAGGTTCCTCAGCTCAAGTTCATCAGTCCTCTCCCCGTGTCTGCCCTAGTTCATATGGAGAGACCACCAAGTCCCTGTGGCGCCTGGCTTCTCGGCTGCCTGCTCACTCTAGCCTTCCTCCAGCTGCCTGCTCAGGTGTCAGGTAGGAGTTTTGGATCTTTCTCTGCCTGGGAGGTCTGACAGGGATGAAGCATGGTGCTGGAATTTGGTTCTTCTTGGGTTCCGTTTTCCTTTGTCCTTCCCTAAGAAACTCCCCGTTCCCACTCCTCCCCAAGGCATCTCTTCAGCATCCCTTCTCCCCTTGGGTCTCTTTCACACAGGGGATGCTGACAAGTTCCACCTGGCTCCACTCGGGGGCACAGCCGAGCTGCCCTGCCCTCTCCTGCTCTGGCCAGGCATGGTGCTCAGCGAGGTGAGGTGGCGACGGCCTGCACACCTGCCTGGCACCTCGCAGGCTGTCCACGTGCTCCGGGATGGGCAGGACAGTGATGAAGACCTGATGCCGGAATATAAAGGCAGGACAGAGCTGGTGAGAGATGCCAACAGCTACACTTTGCACATCAGGAATGTGAGGCTCGAGGACCGAGGGCCGTACCAATGCCAGTTCCGGGTCGGAAACCAGAGTCGAGAGGGCAACGTGACCCTGCAAGTGGCAGGTTAGCATGGGTTGGAGGGGCCTGGGTCATTTTGGCAAGGGCTTTGTCACCTCTGTCTTCTCTAGCCGGGTCTGCTCATCTCAATGAAGCCCTGACTGGTGTTTCTTTCTGAGAGGGGAAGAAACCTGGACTTTGGGAAACAGTGTACAGTGCAGGGCCCGGATAAACACAGGCTTGTAGGCTCAGACAAGGGCAGCCTTCTCTGCTCCATTACCAAGAAACTCATAACCAGGGCTGCAAGGAAAAGTCCTCAAGGGCTAGAATTCCTATCTGTGACAAGGGTTTGCTTCATGGTCCTTTTCCAGGTTCTTGAATATTTAAAGGGCCCAAAGTCAGATACTGTTTCTCAAACTAGCTTGTGTTTTTACAAAAATCACTCTACCTCAGACCCAACCCAAGTCTCTGCATTCGCTCCATGGGGTTACCACTGATCATCTTTTTAAAGGCGTGTGCTACCACCGCCCAGCTTGATCATCTTTTTAAAGACGTATTTATTTTTATTTTATGTGTTTGGGTGTTTTGCCTGCTTGTAGATCTGTATACCAAATGGGTACCTGGGGCCCACAGGCCCCAGAAGAGAGTGTCAGATCCCCTTGGGACTTGAATTACAGACAGTTGTGAGTTGCCATGTGGGGGCTGGGAATCAAACCTGGGTCCTCTGGAACGGCAGCCAGTGCTCTTAACCCCAGAGCCATCTCATCTCTCCAACCCCTGGTCATCTTTTGATTGTATTTAGTTACAAAAGAGGGATGAATTCATTTAAAACACACAGTAGTTGGTAGACTCTTTACAATCATGGAGTCCTTTGGGTTCAGGGGTGGGGGTGGGGGTAAGTCATTTTCAAACAGGGACTGAGGTCCCAAAGAATCAGAATAGTGTGGTGCTGGTATTGCCATGAGTGGATCTTGAACTTCATTTGGATGGACTGTTTTATCCCATTGTGGTGGACAGAGCAGCTGTGGGTAAGGGTAAGAGGGCAGAAACTATAATTCTGTTAACAGCTATGGCTGTCCATCAGAGGAAGCAGTGGAGGGCAGGACACTGGCTTGGATCGTGACCTTGCCACCAGTCACCACAATCAGGTAGTCTGTCCTCTTCAGTTTTAGGTTCTGACCCCTTCATCCACGTGGAAGGCTATGATGCTGGGTGGATCCAGCTGGTCTGCCGGTCAATGGGATGGTTCCCAAAGCCATGGATGGAGTGGAGAGACACTGAGGGCAGACTGCTCCTATCTGTATTGGAGAACCACTCCCTGGACGAAACTGGGCTATTCCGAACAGCAGTATTCAGCAGAGTCAGGGACAGTACTCTGGGAAATGTGTCCTGTACTGTCCGCAACGAGTTCCTTGGCCAAGAGAAGAAAGCATTCATGGTTATTGGAGGTAATGCTGGGGTGCAAATCAGCTTGAGGCTTCTGAGAAGCCTGGAGGAAACTCCTACCTCAGTGGGAACTTTATAAAGAATTTTCAGGGGTAGGGAGATGGCTCAGTGGTTGGGGCACCAGAAACACACATGGTACACAGACATACATGCAAGCAAAACACCCATATATATAAAAAATTTAAAATTAATTTTTCCATTTTTTGTTCTATGAATTATATCATATTATAGCTCTAAGAATGTATATTGTTAAAAAAACCTGAAAAAGTGGAACATTTTAGAGAAATCAAAACAATGGCATATAATGTCAAATTATAGAGAACTACTGCTAACGTTTTGGGGGGTCTTGCTCTCAAGACTTACCTACATGGACATACCCTCTGAGGAGTGTGCACACACTCCTGTGTGTGTGTGCATATTTGTACCTCATTTCTTTTCTCACATCTCAAGTCTTTAGCTATTTTTTTTGTCTATATCCTTAAGGATTTTTTCATAAATTAATTATGGGGGGCATCCAATTTCATTGTGGGGATATGCATCAAAACAAATTAACCGGAGGCTGTCTCTGGGACTCCAGATTCTTTGCAATTTCTCCCCTCATGTTATAACTAATGATGCAGTGGGCATCTTCACACATATTTGGGAGCTCATTCAGAACACAGTAAAAAAAAAAAAAAAAAAGAACTGCTGGGTTAAAAAGTGTGAAGCTTTGAAATCCCCTTGAAATACAGAGTCATGTGATAAAATAAGTTGGTAGAGAAAAGCCTCCTGGACACCTGCCAATCCTTTTCTTCATTCCTCCCTTTATGCCCCTCCTACTTCTGCCACTGCCTTTCTCTAGCTGATAAAAGTTTAAAGTGACTTATTTAAGTCCGTCCCCTCCCCCACAGTCCCAGGGAACTAGGACTCTTACCATCTCCATTTTACAGATGAGTTAACTCAGGTTGGGAGAGGCTGGGTCTCTTGCCTAGAGCCACCCACTGGTTGAACAAGGACGTACAGCCAGCTGGGATTCCCCACCACTTGGTGCAGCTCTAGTACCCCTTTCCAGTCTTGATCCCGAGATCACAACCATGCAATCCCCCCCTACCCCCCCCCCCTGCACTCTTTTCCCCTTCCTGTCTGGGCTTTAGGCCTGCTGCTGTGGTCCATAGACCTCGGATTGCCGCTGCTGATGGTGGAGCCGAGAGGCTGGCCTGGAACACGCTGTTCCAGCCAAGCCTGGGGTTGAACAATAGAAAGGATTTGAGGAGAAGGCAGGCAGGACTCCTGAGGGATGCTGCACTCAGGACTTTGAAGACCTGGAATATTTGTCCACGGAGTTAGAGGACAGGGTGAGCTTGTGGTTGAGAGGCCTTCATGAGATGCCAACACCCCATTTCTCCTTGTCACCCAGTTTGAGTTCCCAAGAGAAGCAAAGAGCCTGGTCAGTCTTGGCAGGGCTCTCCCTAGGTGATGGAGACACTTGGCTGTGCCTGAGCCGTCTGCCCTCAGAGACGGGGAGGTGCTATCAGATGTCTCCTTGAGGGTGGTCACTGGTGGTCTCTGTTTCAGCCCCAGCTCCTACAAGTCTGTCCTCTCCAGAGGTGGCTCTCTCTGTGGTCTTGCCTATCTTGGGACTCCTCATCCTTCTTGGCATTTGGGTCATCTGTAAACAGAAAAGGTCAAAAGGTAACTTGGAAGCTGTGGGGAGAGATGTGTGTTGGGATGTGAGGGGTGCGAGGGGTGTGGGAGACTGTGACTGCTCTGGGAAAAGACCAACAGAAATAGATGTGGACATGGAAGGTGGGAGACCCTGCGAGTTGAAAACTGGGCCAGTCATATACCAGGGACTCACATGGCAGAGGGAATGGAATAAACCGCAGAGAAGCTCTGAGCAGAGCTGTGAATTCTCACCCTTTGATAAATTAGATCGGAACCAACCCTGGCAGATTTCTAATTAACCAAGGAATTAGGGACTTCTAATCAGGAAATCCAATTATATTCATTTGGATATAAATTTGGATATAAATAAAACCCTTATTAAAATGGTCACATTTCTTGGGCTCTTGATTGCAAAGGATTTGGAAAGTTACATAACCCAACATCTCTTCCTCCAACTGATGATGTGAAGATTCTGATCTTTTCAAATGGCTACACACCTATATTGGCAAGGGGTCAGTCTCATTTAGACGGCTTAGGCCATGTTTGGGCAACAACACGTGTGAGGAAAAGTGCTTCCCAAGCTGAGCTCGCTCTCCCCTCTCTCCCTTCTAGAGAAGCTCCTCTATGAACAGGTGATGGAGGTAGGTAAGTGTCCTGGGCAGGGCTGGGGGACATGCTTTTGTTTTGTTGATTTCTGTATCTCCAGTGCTCTCGCAGATCTAAATTTTGTACCTGAAAGTTCCACCACCTTCTGTTTGGGATGATGGAGGAACTCAGTCTTTCTCCTAAAAGCAGTGGTAAAGCACTGAACGGGGACATCCTGATCAGAGTCACGCTTTGAAGAGTGCTCTTTGGCTACTGTGATGTGACAAGACCAGAGGAGTATGACAGGACATGCGAGACAAATTGGGTTCCCATTTTTGTTGTTCAGAAGAGAGATGATGGGCTGGACCAGGAGGGGTGGGAATGGAGACGGCAGAGTTGGGGCAGTTCAAGAGCTGATAAAACCAACAGGGACTCAGGGCCCTCCACAGAAATGGCCAAGAGTCTTATTTGCTTTCCCTTTTCTTTCTCTAGAGAATCTTCTGGAAGACCATGCCAAAGAAAAAGGTATGTACGAGGGAGAGGCAGGCACAAATATGACATTCTTTCTACTTACACCAAATGCCAGCAGCCCCTCCATAGAACTAGAAGTTAGTTACCAGTGTCAAGGGGCGATGGAGTTGGGGGCAGGGGGTGAGGAGATGCCAGTGCTCGAAATGCAAGTCTGGATCACCACGTGCTCCCTTCCCCAGCCTTTCTAGCAATCATTTTAGTAGGAGGTCTGCATGTGACTGAAACATATATCAACAAGGTCACATGGGATGCATGAGAATCTCAGGAATCTACATGACCTTGACATGGAGAGAGGTGATGTGGTGCCATGGAAAGGCTGCTGGCTCTGGGGTCAACAGTACTTGACTCAGTTTGCTGGTCTGCCATATCGTGGAGTTGAATAGTTCAGTCTTGCCCTGAACTCTGGATTCCTCATCTGTAATATGCGGATAGTAAATTTCGGTGTTAAAAGAGAAAACCTTTCCAAAAGATCTGTCACCGAGTCTGGGACTCCTTTCTCTCAATGCCACTTCATCATCATTAATTGGATGGACGTGTGCTGGGGTCCACCCAGGACAAAAGTCAAAAGACATGCGTTTCAAGTCTTGCTGAGAAGATACATCACTGGCTTGATGGCTCCTAGTTCAGTGATGCTAGAAGCTGTGCCCTACCTCTTTTCTCCCCAACCTGGAGTTGGGGTGTGGGGTATACAGTGCAGTCACACTGGCTGTTCTACCCAAGAGCGAAAAGGAACAGCGTTATGTGATGGTAAGGGAAGTCAGACGGACTTGAGTTGGAATCCTGCCTCCTTGGTCACTTACTAGTTAGATGACCTTGAAAAGATTTCATGTCCTTCTAAGCCTCAGCCCATTTTCTTCAAAGCAGGAATAATAATTCCAAGGATGTCCCTGTTAAGAGGTTCCCATCTCACTCTGTGTAAGAGCAGAAAATGGTGAATGGTAGCAGTCGTGGAAGCGACAGCCGTAAATCCTAAGCTCCTGAGAGGCTGTGGCACTGTTCCAAGCCCAAGAGCCTACGCTCTGTCTAGCCCTTACCTGGGTGGACTTGGACTCATAGCTCCAGTTCTCTGGCAAGGATAATGCTAGGCTGGGGAACCCATGGGCCTGGTGGGTCCTCTAGAGAAGCTAGAAGCACTCTTGCAAAGCATAGGAAGCATATAAATATTCCAAACTTCCCGGGCCCCCGAACTGTGGAAACAGTGACTTTGGAGAATTGCTATAGAGAGTTAGAAAGTCATTCCAGCGAGTGAGTCAGTGCTGGCCTTCAGCTACGTTTACACCTTAGATACCGTAAACAGGAGGCAAAAAGGCATTCGAGTACGTGCATGCACACATGCATACGCGCGTGCACACACACACAAATTACGAATGTGGAAACAGACAGAGGAAGTGAGACCAGACAGAAACAAAGGGAAAGGGGAACCAAAGGGCAGCCTGCCGCCAGGAAAATGACCCCAGCTCCGTTGGACTCTTGAGTCTGACCTTCAAAACCAGGATTGGATGAGGAGCTGATGGAGGCAGCTCCGACCTTTCCTTTGCAGGGGTGGCGGAGTGGTGAGCCTTCCAAGGATAAAGGGTCAGGCTCTGGTCACTTATTCCTCTCTCTCTCTGGTTTGCAGGAAGACTCCACAAAGCCCTCAGTAAGTTCTGTCAAGTTCTGTTGCACCATCTTCTTGCCGCTGCTGTCTCTGCTTGGCGCTGAGTGACTCAGTTTCGCTCTGGGGGCTGGGGAACAGGGTAATGCAGACTGCGGAAGCCGAGGGTTTCCTGGCTCTCCACAGCCCTATTGTGAATGCCCTCTGCTTCTCTTTCCTCATAGCACTTACGCAGCTTCTAAATGGGAACTGTTTTACCAAACGCGTGCCTCTCTTAGGGGAGGCCATCTGGATGTCCTTCATACCTAGGCATGGTATTCCCTGAGGCAGGGTCTGTAGCAATTGAGTCCCCCCTTGAATGTGTCACAGCCTTCTGAATGCTCAGCCATTTTCATCCATGGGAACCCATTTTTTGTTTTGTTGTTGTTGTTGTTTTGTTTTTTGAGACAGGGTTTCTCTGTGTAGCCTTGCGCCTTTCCTGGATCTCGCTCTGTAGCCCAGGCTGGCCTTGAACTCACAAAGATCCGCCTGCCTCTGCCTCCGGAGTGCTGGGATTAAAGGCTTGCGCCACCACCGCCTGGCGGGAACCAATTTTTAACATTTAAAAATAACAAAAAACACCTGCCAGGCATGGTGGCACATAGCTTTAACCCCAGCACTCAAGAGGCAGAGGCAGGCCAATCTGTGAGTTTGAGGCCAACCTGGTCTGTATATCAAGTTCCAGGCCAGCGAGAGCTACGTAGTGAGACCCTGTGTCAAAAACAAAATAAAATAAAACAAATACCACTACCAACAAACCAAAATATAAGAAAACAAACAGCAAAAAACTGAAGGCATATGACATGCCTACATATTTTACATAGAGAAAATATATTTGCTAACAAAATTTAATGGGGATTTGGCGACAGTTTTACATAAACATGCTTTATTTGATAACGTCTTCATATGCTTCGATTATATTGTCACCTACAAGTGTGACATGTAGTATTTATTGGACCTGAAGGTAAGGTTTTTGGGGTCATCTGTCATATCTCTGGGGACCCCTAGGCCACAGCTGGGAGCTGTGTCACCATTACAGACATCCTTATGGGGGAAGTCCCAGGACATGGCTGCTGTTTCTAATCTGCTACAGGAATGTGGGTGTGAGGGACAGGAGCATTGCAATTGCCCTTGTTCTGAGGTGTCCAACTGTTTTTATTCTTCAGAGAAACTCCGGAAGGAATTGAGTAAGTTTCCCACGTTTTTATAATTTCCATACCAACTTACCTGTCCAGTGACAGACAGCTCACTCCCTGTTTCCTCTTCCCCAGAGTTGAAAAGAGCGGCTGCCAACGCAGGTGAGATGTTCTTGCCCAGGGTTTGGCTCCGCCCTCTGGGCTGCCTCCTTTTCTACTCTGCGGTAACAAGCCCCGCCTTTGCCTTTCAGGCTGGAGAAGAGCCCGACTGCATTTCGGTAAGTTAAACCAACCTCACGGTTTCCGGTTTCCGTCCCAGAGTCCGTCCTTCTGTCACGTAAGTTTCATCCCGTCCATTTGAATGCAGACTGTAAATTTATTATTGACAGTATCATCAGTAGTAGTTTTATTTACCGTGTTATTAGTAGTAGTTTTGTCACCGTGTAGCACAGTCAGATCAAACCTATTGTTCTCCTTGGCTTCCCCCAAAGGATTGCGACTCCAGATATGTAAGCCAAATAAACCCTTTCCTCCCCGAGTTGCTTTTGGTCAAGGGTTCATCACAGCCATAGCAACCGTAACTAAGACAGGAGGAAAGGGTATGTTTATTTGGCTTACAGTTTACAGCTTACAGGCACTCATCAGGCAAAGCCAAGGCAGGAACTGGGAAGCAGGGACTAAAGGACAGACCGTGGGGGAGTGCTGCTTACTGGCCTGCTCCCTATGGCTTGTCCAGCCTGCTTTCCCATACAACTCAAGACTACCTGTCCAGGGGTGACACCACCCACAGTGGGCAGAGTCCTGCTACATCAATCATTAATCAAGAAAATGAACCCAACAGATCTTCCTACAGCTCAGTATGATGGAAGCATTTTGTTTTGTTTTTTGTTTTTCAAGACAGGTTTTCTCTGTGTGGCCCTGGTCATCCTGGAACTTGCTCTGTAGACCAGGCTGGCCTCGAACTCACCGAGATCCGCTTGCCTCTGCCTTCCCAGTGCTGGGATTAAAGATGTGCGCCACTACCCCCACCCCATCCCCCCACCCCCGGCTGGGAGGCATTTTCTTAATTGAGTTTCCTTCTTCCCAGATTACTCTAACCCAGTGGTTCTCAACTTTCCTAGTGCTGTGTGACCCTCTAATACAGGTCTTCATGCTGTGGTGACCCTGCAATCATAAAATTATTTCATTGCTACCTCATAAGTGTAATTTTGCTACTGCTATGAATTGTAATGTTAATATCTAATATACAAGATTATCTGATATGTGACCCCCAAAGGGGGCGTGACCCACACATTGAGAACCACTAGAGTCTAGCTTGTTATTAGGTTGACAGAAAACTAACCAGAACAGGGTCTAACATCCAAGTCTAGATTTTGTGTGTGTGTGTTTTGGCTCTTTGAGGCAGTCTAATGCAGTGCTGGCAGGTTTCAAATTCTCTCTGAGGCCAAGGATGACCTTGAGCTAATGACGCTCCAACTTCCACTCCCCAGGACCGTCCTGTGTCTCCCCACCTGTTTTATGTAGTGCTGGAGATGGGACCTAGGGCTTCAGATACACTAGGCAAGCTTTCTGCCTGCAAGCTAGAAGTCTGTTTGCAGTATGGAGGTGGTTGGGGAAAGCCAGAAACTAAAGCAGATCAATGAGAGATTGCAGACCTCTAGAGGATTTCCCCCTCCAAATCTCCCTGAAGATTCCTTAAAACATAAATTTCTCTTCTCACCTCTAACTCTGCAGTGGTGGTGACCCTGGACCCTGACACAGCACATCCCAAACTCATCCTGTCTGAGGATCGGAGATGTGTGAGGCTTGGCGACAAGAAGCGGCCTGTCCCTGACCACCCGCAGAGGTTTGATTTTGTTGTCAGCGTCCTCGGTTCTGAGTGCTTCACAACTGGCTGTCACTACTGGGAAGTGTACGTGGGCGAGAAGACCAAATGGATCCTTGGCGTGTGTAGTGAGTCCGTGAGCAGGAAAGGGAAGGTCACAGCCTCACCTGCCAATGGCCACTGGCTTGTGCGACAGAGCCGTAGGAATGAGTATGAAGCTCTCACGTCCCCGCAGACCTACTTCCGGCTGAAAGAGTCCCCAAAGTGTGTGGGGGTTTTCTTGGACTACGAAGCAGGAGTAATCTCCTTCTACAACGTGACTGACAAGTCCCACATCTTTACATTCACCCACAGTTTCTCCAGCCCCCTCCGCCCTTTCTTTGAACCTTGTCTCCATGACGAGGGGAGGAACACAGCCCCTCTCATCATTTGTACTGAACTCCAGAAATCAGAGGCATCAATTGTCACCAAACAAGAAGAAAAAAGTCAAGCTAATGGAGACGTGTCCCTGAAGATGAACCCATCCTTACTATCTCCTCAAGGTTCTGAGCTTCTCCCATTCCACGATACCTGGCCATCTAACCTCAGCCCTGCTCTTCAGGGGTTCAAGGCTCCTTCTTTGTAGGGCTGTGCCCTGTGATCCACTCACATGAGCATCTTCTAGCCTGGCACCCTGGACTCTGTCTCCTGGCCCAGCACCTGTTTCTCCGGTACCTCATCTCTTTGACCCAAATCCAGACCCTTCTGTGGTTTCTGTTTGTGCCACCTTTCTCTCAGAGCTCAATTCCGAATGCTGCCTTTTTCCCCTAGAGATTAGACATTTCCATTACCCTGGTGGGTGATTCTTGAGATGAACAAAGCTCACTCGGCAGAGGTTTAGTAGGAGACATTGGCTGGATCTCAGCAGCATTCAGTGCAGGCTCAGGGGAAAAGACTCCGTACCTGAGGGAACCCTGAGAGGAACTTCTCACAGCATCAGCCTTCTCAGTGGGTTTTCAGTTGTGAAGCTACAGCCCCAGACCCCAGACATCTTCCATTAAAGCCTGTTAAAGCCTGTTCTTCTCTTCCCCTCCCCCACCCCCAAGTTCAGGCCTCTATCTCCCAAAGCCAGCTTTTCACAAGTGTATGTCTTGTGAATCACACATCCTTCCTTCTTTGTTCAGGAGTGAAACCGAGGTGTCAATACCCCACTGATTTCTATTTTCTTCATGCTGTTTACATCACAATTTGGAGACATCCAGAGTATGTTTTCAACAGCTGGTCTGAAATGGAGACATCTAGAATGTACATGTTTTCAAACATTGATTGACCTACATAATGACCAGGAACCATAATCCCCAGAAAACCTCAACATAGGAGCGGGTAGGCACAGCTGTAAACAAAGCAGGCAGCTGTGTGGCCTTGAGCAGATGAGTCACTCAGCAGTCTGTGGCTCTGGCCCTCTGAATACCTCATGAAGTTCAGAGAGGCCCAGGGAGAGAGTGGCAGTTTGAGCCGCTCACCTCAGTATACCAACAAGTCTGTTGTTCTTCAAGACTTGACAAGAGCCTCTGGGTCAGAAATTGCTGCTTTCAAGAAAGTTATCTATTCAAGATATCTTATTGCTGGGTATGGTGGTGCACATCTTTAATCCCAGCAGGTGGATCTCTTTAAGTTTGAGACCAGCTTGGTCTACAGAGTGAGACAATAAAATAATGAATTCAGAGCTGGAAAGATGGCTGGTCGATTAAGAGCTTATTGCTCTTGCAGAGGACTTGAGTTTGGTTTCCAGCACCCATATTAGGTAGTTCACAACCACCTGGAACTCCAGCTCCAGAGGATGAGACTTCCTTTTCTAGCCTTCAAGGGCACCTTCAACTCTTTGCATATAATGATAAATCAATACACACACACACATAATCACATATCCTTTTTTTTTTTTTTTGGATGTGGATTAGTAAAGAAGGCAAGTCACTTCCAAGTCATACCTGTGTATGTGATTCAGACTATTTGTGGAACTTCCCATCAATTTGCAGGTGGGAAGGCAGCTGGACCCTTCTGGAACTAGATCTGTTACAAGTTCTTTCCAATAGTGCCTGTATTAGTCAAGATTCCAGAGAGAAACAGAATCAACAGGGTGTTGGAGTGTGTGTGTGTGTGTGTTTGTGTGTGTATGTGTGTGTGTTTGTGTGTGTATATGTGTGTGTGGTGGGGGTGGGGGCAGAAAATAAATAAATATGAGACTGAAGTTGGCAGGTTGGAGACCTAAAAAGAGCCAATGTTTTAGTTCCAGTCCAAAGCGGGGAAAGAGCTGATGTCCTGTCCAAAGCCTGACAGGCAAAACTGTTCTGAGATCTTCCACTGACTGGATGGCTCCTACTGGAATTAAGGAGGGTAACTGCTTTACTCAAGCTACTGATTAAATGTTAATCTTGTCCAAACTATCCTCATAGAGACAACAAGTATAATGTGTGATGAAGCATCTGGGAACTTTGTGACCTAGTCAAGGTGGTATGTAAAAATTGCCATTACATGGCCTAAAAGGAATATTTTGTTTGTCTTTGTACAGTTATTAAATTACAATTTTTAACATTCATTGCTTGGCATGTTGTCTTCATTGTGAAGGAAGGTGTGGAGAAAACACATGATGGTATTGGTTTCTGAATAGCTCAGCCTCTGTTCAAGCAAACTTTAGACACAGTTCATAATAAACCCAGTTTTACTCTGGAGTCTGCCTTCTGATGTTTTATTTTTACCAGTTTACAAACTAATAGTGTATATTAGGTACTTATATTTCACACGCATCTTTCAGCTCCAAACATAATTGCCTGAATAGTCAATCCTAAAACTAACCCACACTGGTCTTACCTATTGAGAAAAGTTACCAACAGAAAAGAGAAATATTTGTGGAGGCAGGAAATTATCTATCCACTCATTTAATCCTTACAATAGTTGTGTCAGGAATTTTATAGAGGAGAAAGCTGGGATTATAAAATTTGTTGCTCTCTTTGTCTTTTTAGATTGTGTGTGTGTGTGTGTAGCCAGAAGGGGGCATTGGATTCCCTGGATCTGGAGTTACAGGTGGTTGTAAACTGCCTGATATGGATGCTAGGGATTGAACTCAGGTCCCCTGAAAGAGCAATAACTGCTCTTAATCACTGAGCCATGTCTAGCCCTAAACCTTTTCCATCTCCAAAGACAGGCATTGAAAGACCATGCAAAGACAAAAGCTTGTAGCTATTTTACACACTCAACTAATCTCTACACTCTTTATCTTGCAGGCTCCTAATCTTTATTGTTTTTCAAAATAAAACCCGAAAAGTCAAAAATCCAGGGGTTGGGGATTTAGCTCAGTGGTAGAACGCTTGCCTAGTAAGCGCAAGGTCCTGCGTTCGGTCCTCAGCTCCGAAGGGGGTGAAAATCCAGCTTTGAATACTTTCCTGGTCTATTGTATCCAGACTGATGAGAGTGTTGGGTTAACAGAGGATCATGCAGGATACAGAAAATCCCTGTGCTGGGCCACTGGCCGACCTGGCTGAAGGTCAGTCCTTGGACATGGACACTTGGCTTTTTGGACAAAGACATCAGAATACTTATCTTTAAACTTCTTTCCAGGTACATGCTCTTTTAATTTTAAACTATAAACCTTAAATGAAGTGCGAGGCTTCTATCGAGGGCCACCATTTCAAAAGTAAAACAGAAAAGAAATCTGATGACCTTAGAAGCGAAGACAGCTTCACAGCTGTGTTCTGAAGTGGGCAAATGTTTTCAGCGGCGCAAACCACCTCGGGACTACAACTCCCAGCATGCCGCGCCCTAGACCAATGTTCATTGGCCATAGAGAGGAAGGATGTTCCCAGAATCCAATCCCGACGCTGCAGAGGCGGGTCCTCTCTGGGTTCCGGCTCCGGCTCCTTTCCCCGCCCACCGAGGCGGCGCTGTCCCTGACCGAGCTGCGGGAGTGAGGTGGGTCGCGGTTGTGCTGAGGTGACGTGGGGGGGAGGCGGACGCGACGCGCGGGGCGCTTGGAGCGCGGCCCCTTCGCACTGGCAAAGGGCTTGGAAGCTGCTGTTTTGCCCCGCGGGTTCCAAAGGCCGCCGGGGGCTGTGTGTTCCTCCGCCGTGATCCTGTCCGAGTCTTCGGACGGCCCAGCCTTGCTACCCTCACGCCCTTACTGTTGGCCTTGGACCGCTCCATGCCCCTCCCATACACCGAGCCTCTAGGGTCGCCCCTTGGGCTCTTCCGCCACCAGCCCCAAACCCATCGACGTCTCTGAACCCAGCTCCTGCCCTCCAGGACGCTGTACCCTGACTCCTCCAACTTTCCCCTGCCCTCTCCACTCGGCCTCCTTGGACACTTGTGCAGCCTTTGTCCCGTCTCCCTGACCACTTCTGACTCAGGCTCCTTTGATGTTCCATCTCTGACCCGCTAGGTAGCGCCTTATTCTCCACACCTTGCCCCTGGCCCTTCCAAGCTACCCGCGATGCCCTTGACTTGTGCCCAGATCTGGAACTTGAATCTTTCAGACCACAGGTTGGCATCTCCCCTCTAATCCAGGCTCTTATCCTTCATCATTTGTGATCACCACCAAGCCCCGTCTTCTTGGCTTGTTCTTAGAACTGGCCTCTCCTGTGCACACTTGCCCCAGACTGTGCTGCTGAGCTCCGAGGAAGAAAACCCAATATGCACCAGGCCCCTTCTCCCGCAGATCTTTGAAGTGCAATGTGAATTTGACCCTGCATTTTAGCTGCATTGCCTTTTCAGTCAATAATGGACTCCCTCCCTGTTCCTGCCAGCCCTGGTCTTGCCCGTCCATCCATCTTGCAAGTCATAGTTCGAATACCACTTCTTCCATGAAGCTGATTCCCTGCCCTCTTCAGAGAAATGTCTCTGTGTGGTCCTAATTGCTGTGGCACTTTTTCTCTTCTTCCTTTTCTCCCTCCAGTACTAGTGTAAACTTCAGCTTTGGAGTGATGAGTATAGGCTTCAGTTTTGTCCGAGTATAGCCTTTCAATCACTGTGTGCTCTTGGGCAAGTGATTTAATTTCTCTGAGTTTCAGTTTCATCATTTCTAAAATAAGTATGAAAAATGAATCGTTCAGCCAGGCATAGTGGCACATGCCTTTAATCCCAACACTCAGGAGGCAGAGGCTGGCCTAGTCTACAGAGTGAGATCCAGGATAGCCAGAGCTACATAGTGAGACCCTGCCTCTGAAAAGAAAGAAAGAGAGAGAGAGAGAGAGAGAGAGAGAGAGAGAGAGAGAGAGAAAGAGAAAGGAAATAAAGAAAAAAGAAAGAATAGTTGTACAAATGAATTGAGATGATGCATATGGAGTACTCAGCTCCAGGTCTAAAATTTTGTAGGACCTTTAGAAAACGTTAACTATTATTGACTCCTGTGCCATGTGTCATGCACAGTGCTGGGCCATGAAGAATGGGTACAGATGTGGCTGAGGCACTGTCTCTTCCCTGGAACTTTATGTTCCATATCGTCTTCATGATCTGTTTCATTCTACTGTGTCATAACTATGAGGGTGGTAACCATAATCTTAAATATTTTTTAAAATTTTATTTATTATTTATTGGGGTGGCCGTGGGAGGGACACACACCAAGCACCGTAGCTGGTATGTGGAGGTCAGAGGATAACGTTCAGGACCAGTTCTCTTTACTGTGGATTCCAGCATTGAACTCAGCTTGTCAGGCTTCTGTGGCAAGTGCTTTAACCATAGCTAATCAGTCTCATTGGTCCCATAGTCCAACCATAAATCATTTTACTATTTAAAAAGAAAAATGCCATGTATTTATGCTGTGTGTGTGTGTGTGTACTTGCCATAATGTGCATTGGGGTTCAGAGGACCACTTGCAGGAGTTTGTTCTTGCCCCTTTTCATGCAGGTCCTGGGGATCAAGCTGAGACTCAGGTTTGGTCACTAGTACCTTCACCTACTGAGTCATTTTCCCACCTCAGTGTAAAAAAGGTATATGTACGTGTGCACCTGAGTATATGTATGTGCACCACGTGTGTGCAGGTGCCTGTGGAGACCAGACGAGGGCGTTAGATCCCCTGGAGTTGGAGCTATAAGTAGTTGTGAGTGACCTGATATGAGTACTGGGAACTGAATCTGGGTCCTCTTGCAAGAGCAGCAAGTGCTCTTAACCACTGAGCCAACATTCCAGTCCCCAATGCATCCCATTTATTTATTTGTTTGTTTGTTTTTATGTTTATTGAGACAGAATCTTACTATGTAGTTCTGACTGTTCTGGAACTCACTATGTAAACCAGGCAGTTCTTGAATGTACAAAGATCTGCCTGCCTCTGCCTCCCAAGTGGTAGGATTAAAGGCTTATGCTACTATGCCTGGCAGCCTTAATTACTCTTGTTTTTACCCAGCACTCAGCCTTGGATAGAGACTTGGTAAATTATGATCTTAGCAGTTTTAAAAGAGAGTGTACAGTTGGGCATGGTGGTGCATGCTTTTAAATCTAGCACTCAGAAGACAGAGGAAGGTGGAGCTCTGTGAATTCAAGGCTAGCCTGGGCTACATAGAGTTCCAGACAGCCATACATAGAGAAACCTGTTTTAAAAAAAAAAGAAAAGAAAAGAAAAGAAATTAGTGGAGGCCACATAGCTCCTTATATATAGATCCTAAAGTTCTAGGTAGAGTCAACAGGGGTAGAGATTAAAGTTCTCATCCATTTACTTTCTCATCCAAAAAAAAAAAAACAACAACTGAGCACCCAGCCTCATGCTGTAGAAAGTTACTACAATAGAAAGTATAACATCCTGTCGTAAGGACAAAGTGGGCACAAGTCAGCAGATGTCTAAGGAATTGTGGGTGAGCGTAGACACGGAAGAGCATGACAAGCATTCTGGAGATACTTCTGGCCTTCTTTAGTTCACTGTGGAGATGTATATTTTATGTGGCTGTATCTGATCAGGATGTGTATGTGGTCTGCGTGGCTGATGTCAGTATGTTGGTTGTATGTATGATATGAATGTGTATGCAGTATGTATAGCTGATATCTGTGTTTGGTGTGAGTATAGCTGTATGTCATATAAGAATGTAGCTGTGTGTGTATGAGTCCGTGTGATGTTTATGTGCAGAAGTTGGCATCGATCTATCATGACAGACAGAGCTCAAGTGTTGTAGTAGGTCTTGTCAGCCAGTTGGTAGAGTATGGTAAGGTGTACAGAGGAATGGGCTGGCAGAGCAGTAAGACTATTCAGAGTTGGGCCTTGTGAGTAACTACTTCTAGTTATTCATGTTCATTTCAGAATCAGTGAATAGATGGCTGTTTGACAGGAAGAAACTGAATTCATCTCTAAATGGAAGTACCTTTACTTACACATAAATTATAGAGTGCCATTGTTTAATGGTATTAAGAAGAGTGACATTTAGTCTGAACAGAATACATCCGTTAGTGGTAGGTAGCCTTAAATATCTGTGAGAGTTTGTCCCTTGAAAGTTAAGAAGTAAATAAGGCTTTCTACAAGTATTCCAGTTAGTTGGGGTTATTCTGGGGAGTTATACATTGCTTCAACCAGAATGCAAGATTCTCTGTGGCCTGATGGCTGGCACAAGGAATAAAGGTG